CCAAATAAGATTACTTATCTATCATTACAAAATCTACAGAGGTGCCTAACACCGAAAAATGAAGCAGAAGCAATATATGTTGCAACTGCTTCCATCATCAATTAGCTGCAATTCTAATAGTGGAATTTTTGTGTTGGCATTTCTGACAGCTATTTTATGCACTCAATATGTGTGTACACTATTGATTTTGCCAAAATTTTAGTCTGTTTCAACTCTGTTACAAGAAAAATCTCTGCAAGGGTTGTGGGGCCGTATTCTAGGGAGGGAAAAAGAACAGACCCACTGCCTCCCTAACCTGGTTAATTAGGGGAGTTTCCTTTCAAGTCATCTATCTGCCTGACTAGTGATAAACCATCAGTCTGCACATTACTCCCCCCCCCCCAAGATGTAAAACAGATCTGCACACTCTGTGGTTTAGAGTTTAGTCAAAAACGTCTGACAATGAAATCCACAATATTTACATGGGGGAAGGGGGGACAATTCCTAAGATGCGCATTTTGGAAAAGATCATCTTTGTGGCTTTTTGAGTTTGACAGATAAGTCATAATGTATCAAAGGTTCAAGGTGCAAAATGGCAAACAGACACTGAATTTGCAGAACTTTATTCTACAGTTAAGCAGAGCTCTCATTCTGAATTATTTCAGCTAAAAAAAAAATTTGCAAGACTGTTGGCAGAAAGAAGATTTTTGTTGTTGATGCTTTTTTTGTCCCAACCTACTGCCACATGATGATGATGTACAACAAAATTAAGAATTTTTTTAAAAAATTCTTGGAGATTGTTCTCCGTTTAATTTGGTGCAAAAATGCACAATATTATAAGTTTATGTTAAACAGCTGTGAAGCGACCTACTAAGGATTGGTAAGTGCCTGCTGTGCATACTCCAATTGTGAAGTTCTTATGTCCGATGAACCAACAGTCCATTTGTCACTCTGGTTGTGCAGGTAGGCGCTTAATTTTCTACTGCAGCGATGATATATCACCATTACCTCAGTACCTCTTGCAATCACCACAACATCTTGTCCAATCAGCGCAGCAGGGGCAGGAGATGTCTGAGGCCTCGGAGTTATGACCAACCCCCACCCCCCCCCCCCCCCCCCCACCAGATTGTCAAGGGGACAAACGGGACAAAACAACTGTTGAAGGATCCGCAGGCTCCTGCTATGCATGTTCCCACTGTAGAGTTCTTATTATTATTATTAAAGCTGTGGCATTTCTAGTACTCACTAAAATGATCTGGGAAAATGCAAGGGTTAATGGGATTGGTAGTCATGGGGTTAGGCAGCCATTTGCATCCTGTATGAACCTTTTAGGTCTAGGCTTACTGTTGTACACGCTTCAACAGTTTCACAGTTCTGTGTCATATGTTCAAACAGTTGTAGTTTAAGCCATACTAGCATTATACAGGTATACGTTAGTTTGCATGCATAGCCATTTTGTAAACAAGCGCAAGCATGCAGAAAATGGCTGCAGGGCAAAGAAAGAAGATACTCCAATCAACTCCTACAGGGTAGGTGAGCATGGAGACAAAGAGAGGGCTGCTACATTAGAGATGGAGCATCAATGGATCAGACCAATGTGCTAGGACAGTGGTTCTCAACCTTCCTAATGCTGTGACCCTTCAATACAGTTCTTTATGTTGTGGTGACTCCCAGCCATAAAATTATTTTTATTGCTACTACATAACTTCAGTGAATATGTGTTTTTAGATGGTCTTGAGGCGACCCCTAGGTTGACAACCACTGTACTAGGATGTTGATATGGACAGCAAGTAACAGGTGACAGATTTCACAAAACCTCACAAAGCAATCCTAGAATGTGTTTGCTATTTGTAAGTTTACTAGCCAATTTCTTCTTCTTTTATGCTCCACTTAAAAGAGTGGTTGGTACACTGTAGTTTACAGCTAGTCTGTGATATCTGCACCTTTCAACCCAACAACCCATCCGATTTCAGCACACCTTTGATTAATCATCTTTTGTGGTATGTTTTAAACAAACAAAAAAGGGGGGGATGCATGTATTTATTCTCCACTTTACCGCAATTAGACCCTGAAACCCACACAGAAAGAGGTGATGTCAACCAAGCTAAAATTATGTTACATGTTAGATGCATACCCTGCACAAACAGCCCCAGCATCTGCTGACTATTTGTGATTTTACTGGACAATTTTATGTTCAGTAGTTTGAAAGTTTTCTGAATGGGAAGACATTCATTCAAATCTTACTTTAGTGGCACAAGCGGAAAAGACAGACTTAAAAAAACATTGGAAGACTCAAGAAAACGTGACACAATTTTGTAACATAACCAGGCACCAAAATTTGACAGCAACGGAAACTTTACCAGCATAAATCCTGATTAAGATGGGTGGCAAAGAAAGAAAATCAAGGTAGGACTTAAAAGGCTAAAAGGTTAAAGTCGAGAGGCTCAATTTCATTGCACCGGGTTTTATCCCACATGGCTCGGTCTCTCTCCACAGAATGGTTAGTCCCCTGCCAAAAGCGCCACATAAAACATGAACTCTGTAGCTCTGGAGACGATCCCTGGGGATCTCTGTCAAAACTGCACTTGTGAATTGAAGAGTGCAACCGCGAAACAAACCCATGACTTTCAGAGAGTGAGGCAAATGGCTTGACCACTTCGCCAAGGAGACTCCCAGAAGGCAGGACTTATTAACCTCAAAGATGAATATAAGACACATCTCACAAACTACAGACCAATCAAAACTGAGGCTTATTAAGAACCATGCTGAGCCAAAAAGAAAACTGCTGATAGAGAAATTTGGCGATCTTTCTGGCTAATCCCTACACTCCATAGTAGACGAGGATTTACTAAGAATGTAAATAAGTTTATTCCACCAAAAAGGACTTTGTGCTGAATAAAACTAGGGAGCTATAGTAGAGCAGTGTCTAGTACGCTTACCTGTTAGCCTGAGCTAAAACACATGAAGAATTAATCAGAGACGCTATCAAATAATATAAAGAAGACATGCAACGGGGGATATAAAGAAATTAGTTTTATGTAGGGAAAAATACTAGGCAAGAAAAACAGAGAAAGACAGTGGATGGAAGAGATAAAATTATAAAACGATCTGGTAAAAAACTGATATTTCCACTGCTTCCTTAGGGCAGAATAAGGAACGCAATAATTTCCTTCAATGGGCCCCAGAATAGCAGTGGATGTAACATTCTGTAAGAGTATGGGGAAATCGGTTACTAGGCGGTCTTAATCTTTTGGCCACTGCTGTATGTATAGAAAGCTTAAGCAGATGAGCAATAGATACACTTTTCTTCAACCGGTGGGCTCTGGGAAAAGTCCAGATGGGCTGCCTAAATTGTCTGCCTAATCATGTGAGTGAGTGATGTGGCCAACATCACGCCAGCCACCTTTACTTCTCATGACTTTACGTGGTACCTTTTAAGGCTGTGGTGAGTGAGCAAAATAATAATATCAAAGCAGTGTTTCCCTGATGTGAATTTAAACAAAGAAGACACAAACAATAGACTGCACAATTTATTGCCTGGCAAATTTCACTGTATCTCGTCAGGTGCATACTACAGTAACAATTGATTAAAATGAAGCAAATAGCTGAATCCTAGAAACTGACACACAAATTCGAGTACATTCTGAACTCTCTGTTTCACCAAGGTAACCGTAAGGTAACGACCATTTCTTTCTACCTAGAGAGTTCTGGTTTCAACCGGCTGATCGCTGAAGCTTCCCCATATCGGAGTGAGACAAGACCTCTTGCTCCTACCTCGACAGCGAATATTTTTACTGCATACGCTTCATCTCTCCTCAGATCAGCCGCGAGGTCACTGTATTTTTCGAGCTCATACATTTGTTCATTAGCAACTCATACGGCATGGTCAGCTCGATCAGGATGAGCTGACGTTTTTCCGCAGAGTGTAGGACTGTGTGTTCTAGATACCCAGGAATGTCACCTTTTTGCACCGTTGTGTCTATGTACGTATTATCCATCAAGTACTGTGTCAACCTGCGCACTATAACCAAGAAGAATATCTTTTCCCCGACACTTAACAACGAAATGGGTCTGAATTGGGATAGGTTGGCGGAGTCTTTCTCCTTTGGGAGGTACACTCCGTTGGCTCGCTGCCACTCCGTACATATGTGCTTTCGACTCCACGCTAATCTTAGCAAGCGGTGAAGCTTTTGAGACAGCGCTTGTACACGACATACGGAACACCACTATGTCCTGGGGCAGTTTTGCCGCTAGCTTTTTTTACAACATCTTCTACTTCGGGCATCGTCTTAAATTTCCCCTTCGGCAACTCTGGCCGCAGCAGGCCGCTTGTGATCTATGGATCGTCAGAAAGAGGTTCCTTCATTGTCCTGTCTGAGTACATCCTCTGTAGATGCGACTCTATCTCCTCTTTACTGACTACCAGAGTCCGAGACTTTGGTTGCTCAAACAAGCCTCGGACAAACTGAAATGGGTCCCTAAAGAGCTTTGCTCTTTCCCTTTTGGTTCTCCATCTGTTTGTACAGAAACGCTCAGCGCGACAGAGGGCACTGTGCCTGGCTCTCAGGTGATTCCAGATCTCATACAGCCCCTCCCGCTCGCTGCCCGTAGTGGCTCTGAACCGTCTTCTGAGTGTATTCATGTCAGCTCTGCACTGTTCAATCTCTCTCTGCCTCCTGCTTTTCCCTTGCGTGGCGCGAGGCTGCTCCTTTTCGACTGTCCTGAACTTGCCGGCACAGTGAGTATAAATTATGTCTCTGAATCTCATCAACTTGTCACCTAGCTTTTAGTTCTTTCATTCATTATTAACCGTCTCAACCAGATTACCTTCCTATCCCCCCCCCCCCCCCCCCCCCCCCCAACGGTGCCCTAGATGTGCACCAATACTTATGTGCTGCAGCAAGAGGTGGACAAACAACCAGGACTTTCTGCTAGTGTTTACAGTCGGTGAATGTGCAGAAGAAGTAGAAGAAGAAGAATGAGATGAAGAAGAAGAAGAAGAAAAAAAAAAAAAGCCTTACTTGTAGTTCTCCCATTTCTGCTGCACTGTGCAAGGGGCTGCCTCCTAAGTTATCCAGAGTGACTTTTGCTCCTCCTTCCTTGAGTAGCCACCTCACAATATCAGCATGTCCTCTACCGGCTGCAAAATGGAGGGGTGTGGAGCCATCAAAGTCTCTGTCATTTGGATTACTCTTATCTACTGTAACCTGTAAAAATATGACAAAGTCTGTCAAAAACAATATATATATATCTTAGATAGGCATGACAGATAAACAAGGCAGGCAGGCAGCTAAAAGACGAAAGGTAGGAAAGACTATCTTGTTATACATAATGTATAAAGAGATTTCCGGTCTTATATGGAAGACTAGGAATGACAGAATGTTAGGCTTCAAAGTTATTTTTGCTTCCGACAGCTCTCTGCTATTGCAGTTTCCACACATGGATTGCAGTCTACGGTTTTGCTGCTTGAGTTTAATGCTTGATGCAGCCCTGTGAGCAGTGTATTTCATGTGGCATGCCTTTCATATGTGCAGCAGTTGTCGTAGTATCCAATATGACTGGTGGCCAGTTTATGTGTTGGCTTGTGAAATACCTTATATTATACCATTATATGTATGTATAGTCAACATGTTGTATCCGACTACTTCCATCAACGACATACTGCATTTCTGGTGGCGACTGTTGGCTTTGGTGACTCTAGCAACTGCCATTTGCATTTACTGTGTGAGCATATTTTTGGATTATGCCAGGACTTCTGAGGGATATTTAATCTGATTTGCACTAGCACAGGAACGGAGCAAGTATGGGCTGACCCAACTGCAGTGAAATTGAAACCTCGACTAAGACTCAATAACGTATAATTATTCTTTTCCCATTGGCTGGTTGTACTGTGGTTTACAGCTAGGCTGCGTTATTTCTCCTTTTTGGCTAATATATCAAATTTCGGTAAACTCTGAATTATTTGCCTTTGATGAAATGCTTTTTATGAGACAGTGGGGCTAATAATATTTTCTTTCCCTCGCAAAAATCAAATCGAGTTCTGTAACCCATCAGGAAATACATACAGCCTCTGCAGTAAATTTTCTCAGTATGAGGCAAGTCTTTGAAAGGCTGCTCCTAATAGCTTTGTGCTGTCAAAGTTCAAATTGTATTCTGATTTCACTGCTCATTCCCCACCCCTTCCCTTTTTCGGTGCTGCCTGATGCAGCTGCCTCTCTATATCATAGCATAGCCCAGAATATATAACTCTACGTGTGTGTTTCTGTGTGGAGGCGGTTGGGCGTGAGTGTTTATAGGGGTGGGTGATTCAAAGTGACACACTTACTCGGACATGTTACACATTAAAGTTGTAAGCGGTAGTAAGAGTTTAGTAGAACCAATTTCACATAGCAGCTACACTCACTCCTTGACAAAATGAAACAAAAGAGTTCACAATTTCACCCAAAATGACTGCGCACAATTATTAGTTGTAAATACTGTTTTTCTGGCCTTTAGCACCTTAAGTCACAGAAGATTTCAAAAATGCTCCCAAAAGAGGAAAGCAGTCACATAGCAGCTACAAGCACTCCATGACAAAATGAAACAAAAGAGTTCAGCAGAACCAATTTCACCTAGAATAACTGTGCATAATTACTGGTTCCAAACACTGTCTTTCTAGCCTTTAATTTTTCAAGCCAAAAAAGATTTCATAGAATGTTTCTAAAAGAGGAAAGTTCACGTCTCTATATTTCATCCTGAAAAATATTTAACTTTGTATGTGTGTGTATGTGTGTGCGCACGAGCATGCATCAGTGTGTGTGTGTGTGTGTGTGTGTGTGTGGAGGAGGGGGGGTGTGTAAATATAAACATACCAACCATGTGTACATGCTATGCAGTTGCAACCAGTATTAAAAGCTGTTATACAGGTGGAAGAATTGGCGCCATTCCAATATGAGATGCACGATTTGTGTGTGTATTAAAGCCCCATTTTGGCTGTGGTTTAAAATAACCTAACGACTGAACAGGGTTTCTGGGACCCGTCTCCGTGTGATCCTCATCCGAATGGTGGCACTTTGTGTTTATCGCTTGGTGTGATGTCCTGGTGGGTTTGAACATCAGTAAGTTATATAGGTGATGTGGCCACTACCCAAAGACAAATCATAAGTGCACAACTTTTAAAGAAATATATACACTTTATAAATTACAACTGGACAAGCTAGATTTCTGTAGTCCATTATCATCATGCAGCAGGTACTTTGCCCATCTTCATGCTGATCAGCCCCTGCAACTCTTTCCCAGTTCCACACCTTCTGCTACTACTCTGTCAAATCTGCCATCGTAATTTATATGGTCAAAATATTCCAGTTCCTTATATCCACTTTGACCAATTGTAAAAAGTAAAAAGACATTTATGTGACAGCTGGAATTTATCTGAAAAAGCCTATTACACATCACATGTTTCGTAGAACTGAAATAGTTAAGAGTGAAACAATAACTTACAAGCCACTTCACTATGTCCAGGTGTCCCTGCTGAGCAGCTGCATGGAGACAGGACATAGCATCATATGCCTTGACCTTTGTTGCTGCCTTTCGACTTATCAAATACTGGAGGATTTCTAGGTGTCCAGCCTGACTGGCTAAATAAATAGGGGCTGCTCCGTTGTTCATCTGCATATTGACCAACCTGTAAAAAATACAAGATTTTAAACATGCATAGAGTGTGTTTGTGTCTCTCTGTTTCCAGGACAAAATTAAACGTCTGTTTATCTGTGTCATTCTGTCTGCCTGTGCCAGTGTGTGTGTGTCTGTGTCTGCACATTTGTGGTGTGTAGAGGTGTTTTCATTACTCAGCGCCATATTTTTCTCCGAGCTGACATTTACTGTTGTAAAGAATAAACTTTAAAGTTTTCAAGACTCTTCTTACAGTTTACACAAGAAGAATGTCAGCACCACAAACTCCAAACACCACTGAAGATGATCAGAATGTAGGCATACAAGAATCACATAAACTATTGAAAAAATGTGCGGGTGCGCTCGTGTATGTGGGGTGGGGGGTGAGAGATAGAGAGAGAGAGAGAGAGAGAGAGAGAGAGAGATAGAGAGAGAGAGAGAGAGAGATAGAGAGATAGAGAGAGAGAGAGAGATAGAGAGAGATAGAGAGAGAACCTCTTTCCCAACTTTGAGATGCAGGCTAGTAAATGAATAATACCATCTTCGTCCCTATTTTATGTTATCAGTGCCAAAAGTGAACAATAAATAGAGCTCTAGAACAGAAAATAACTACATGAGAAATGTGCTGTCTCCACAAGGTCACTAACAACACAAGAGACCTGGTTGCGAATACTAGCATTAGAAAAAAGTTGCAATAAGACCATGTCTGGTTTACACTGACAAAGAATGAAATGGTTCAGCCATCTAGTAAGAATGCAGCCAGACGAAACTGCATATAAGACTTTTCCAGCAGAACTGGGAGGAAGGCAAGGGGAAGACTAAGGAAGAGAAGGATAAATAGTGCTGCTGAAACCTACAAAAAGATGAATACATTTTTCACCCAAGCCACCGAGAAGTGCAAGACATACAGAAAACGATGACCCTGGGCTACGACCTGCTATCAGTGAGACAACAAAGAAAGAAGTACAAAGCAACACGCCCTACAGTCATTTCCTGTTCCAAAGATAATATAATGTTTCCAATATCTTCTATCACAAATAGTTTTAACTACTTTTGCATGTTTTGAATCCCCTCAGACTGAAGTATTTTCAGCTTTTAAGTGTAACCCCTTGGAAAGAAGGAGTTAACAAATTCTGAGGACACAATAATAATAATAGTATAGCAAGAGTGCCCTTACACTGGAACCCACTAGGCCAAAGAAATAAAAGGATACCAAAAGCACAATGAAGCACTTACTTTTAAGTTTGAACGATGATAGATAGTAGAAGAAGTAAATCAATTACCTTGGATTTTCATCTACTAGAATTTTCACACAGTTCATGTCTCCACCTACAACAGCAAAGTGCAAAGGAAGAGCTCCTTCGTTACTTCTTATTGATGCATCTGCACTGGCTTCATCCAACAGCCACTGTAATTAACAATCATTCCACATGTAAACTTGCTACTTCATTTAACTTCACATGGAACTGTATCCTCACTATGACAGCCCAAGTTCAACCTTGATCCTCAGCAGTGACTATTTTTAAAAAAAGGAAAAGGTGAAGAAACTTTGGTTTCTCAATCATCTTGAAAGCTACATGGTGTTTGCACAGCTACCAGCAGGCGTCAATCAAGCCTGAGAGGTCAAACGATAGAGAACATACTAAGAAAGACAATTTGATCCTTTAGGTTAGGGTTCTTTCCATCTTTACGTTCACCGGCTGCAAACACCAGTAGAAAGTCCTGATTGATATCCACTACTAGAACTTGGTCCTTATCCAGAATTTGAGTTTTGGGTGTTTTCTGAAAAGAGGGGGGGGGGGTGTGGGGTGGGTGAAGGGCAGTAGGCCTGTTCTTTGTTCTCCAAAATGGAGCCCAGCAACCTACATGGGAAATGGTGGGGATGAAGTGTGAGGTAGTACTAGAGTCTTTCTCCACAGATCTCCTTCCAACCTGGCATTTCTTCCGCGGAAAGTTCCAATTTGTTCAGTTCTGGACTGTGCTCTAGTTCAAGAACTTCAGTTCTTGCACATTCATTTTACAGATCTGGCTCATTTGTGTGCAGACTGCTAGTTCCTTGACTCTCAGGCAAGCTGCACTCCCAAATCACAGGAAATGCCCTAATTAGTCACTTTTTACTGCATGTCTTTAGGAGGTTATGAGTCAAGTCTTGTTTCCCCCCAACAAGGTTCTGAAAACCTTGGTGAGCGGATACCAAGCATTTAAAGTGGATGAACTTCACTGCAGTACTGCAGTGAATCTTATCCTATATTGTGTGCCCTTTCTTCCAGAGTATCTGGCCACCTGCTGATAGCATCACACAAAGCACACATTCAGTAGTTGTGACAATCCCCAGGCATCTCCCACACATAAAAACTGTATTATTCTATTTAGTTAGGTAGATCTAATAATAAACCCATAGTCTTCAGTGTGTGAGGCAAGTAGCTTGCCTACTTCACTATGAAGATCCCTTCTCATAGCCCTGCAAAAAACTCAAGCCATGGAGGTGAAATGACATGATTCCCTCCCTTGAAAACTAAACCAAAAGTTTAAACAAATGCTTTCCTTCTTCTTCGTTTTCTCCCATGCCCGCTCTCAAACGGCAAATGACAAAATTGTTCATGACAGCTTCAAAACAATTAGATAACTCATTTGGCTCAAGTCTTTTGTACAACAAAAATGACCTTGGCTCTCAGGTTGACCGAACCTAAATGGGTACCACCTGAAGTCCTAGGAGGTCAACATGACCAGTGTAATATTGATCTCACCAACAAAGCAACTAACTGCCTATTTAAATATGAGTTTAGCATCATATCCTGGAATAAAAAGGGGCGTTTACTTGCTGTCTGTACAAGTTGTACCACAACCACATACCTTAGGCACAAGGAAGTCTTTCCTCCATACTCCATTTATTTAGTAATTGTCCAGGATTCCCCCAAAATGTTTTCAATTCAAGTATGTGTAACATAAAAGAATTCTTTTCTAGCCCAAATGAGACTATACTGTACACAAATAAGAGAAAGTGGGTGTGTACATACCTCGACCGTAAGAAAATGGCCATATCTCGCCGCTAAATGCAGAGCAGTAACACCAGAACCATCCAGGATATTCACGGCTACACCGCCTTCTTCCACCAACCACTTCACAACAGCCGTATTCCCCCTGGCAGCGGCATCATGAAGAGCCGTAGCCCCAGTTTTTGTTCGAGCCAAGACAGAAAACCCCCGAGATTTAACTAAATACTCGACGACGGCCACACTACCACCTCGGGCGGCGTAGTGTAAACAACAGGCCCCATTGCCATCAACATGCGATTCCTCAATATTTGCAAGTTTTGTTAGAGTGTTAATATCTCCGATTTTACACGCCTGAAAAGCACTTTCCGCAACCATTTTAATAACTTGTTCGAGCTATAGGTTTACTTTCTACTTTAAAACCATGTCCAATTCCATTTTTGTAAGCATTTAAAGTCACAGCTGATTTCTTGAACTCGTCTCTGGAGGACGACTGTTTCTTCATGAGGCAGGGAGCCATTGATGTTCTCTTCATATTATAAATTAATTCCTAATTTTTATTCACAGCAATAGTAATCTAGGCTTTTCATGTATTTTTTATGTGTCCTATTATATTTTGTTCTATATGTTTCAACCTATTTGTTACGAATTTTCATTAATTGTATGGTTATAATTGTAAAAGAGGGCTACTCCCCTTTTTTCGTCACTTCCTCTACCAAGGCAACATGGCTGCGTCCTTGGAAGAAGACGATGAAATTTTAAAGAGCGACTTCTATGCACTTCTGAACGTTGATAGAAAGGTTATCCTAGTTAAGATTTTGTTAAATGCAATCATAATTTTATGCTTGATCAATAAAAGCATGTGTTTTTGAATGTAGCTTTAGCAGTTGCTGGTTTTTAAAGTTTACTTTGCAAATTCAAATACATTGCCGGGACTTTTACTTTTATTTTAGTTGCAATGTAAATAAGTTGCGTCATATACTTTGAAGCTAATAAAATATGTGGGTGGAATTCTTCATCTTTTTTCTTGTGCAGTGCCATGTTCTTAATAGTTTATGCATAATCTCTTCTGTATTTTCATTTTATTAAGTGTACTTTTTTCTTATTGATCTGTTTTAATTTTTGAAAACATTTTCATTTTTAGCAGATCAGATGCTTGATTTTGCTGAGTCTGTCCAGATTATAAAATTAATCAATCAATATTAATAATAATATTATAGAAAGTTTTCTAACTTCTAATAAAAAAATGTTTTTCTTTGTGGCAAAATAAAATAAAATTGGGCTTTATGAGATTTTATGGTTAAATTTGGTTGTGACAAATAGAAACTTAACAACATATATACCTTTACACAAATTACAGACATTAAATAACAGCTGTTAATAATGTTAATAATAATGATGATAATGAATAATAGGGGAAAGTTTGCAAACAATTCTTCTACTTATTATTATTCCTTGTTTTCTTTCTTCTGTCACTTATTCCCTAATGGAACATAGGCATGCAACCAGCTCTTGCTATGTCGTCATCTTCAACGTCCGTCCAAGTGATGTAAATGTCTTTTGCCTGTTAACACTAACAACATAGCTGTGATATTTGCACCTCTTTGGCCAAAACATCCATCTTCTTTTGGCATTTTTAAAAATTTCATTTAGCCTTCCCAGTTACTTTCATGGGACATTTTTGGCCTTATATTTGTGGGGAAATTCTTCAAACCCTGAGCCGCACGTGTTGTCCCTAGAGAACCTATCAGAGGCAGCAGCCTGCTTGGTCATCCATCTTAATTTAGTGAGGAATTACAGCTTGGTCAAGTAAGTAAAGTTTACCTCACCAGGACATCACATAGAGCGATAAACACGGTGACACAAAGTGCCACCACGCCTATGATTATCACCCATGGAGAGAGGCAGAGCATTCCCCACCATCCAAGGAAGCTACCATAAATGCAGATATGGTACATGCCAGTCTGGTGCTTGGCTTAGCCAAAAACAATCATCATGTCCTGCAAATGACTGCTAAGGCCCGCATCCATATGTTGAGCATTCCAAAGTTGTTTGGCCACTTTTTGTAGCTTTTATTGGGAGCATGCACCAGGCTTGGCTTCCCTATGTGGTCATTACACTTCAATGAGTGTGGCCATTGGTAGTGGAGAATAAACCTTTTATTTCATAAAATAGCATTTTTGAGTCCTGGATATTTGAACTGTTAATGTCATACAGTAGGAGATTCGGTGGATGGACACTTGATCCCGAACGACCGTAAAGTCTTGGTTCACAGTTGTTTGAACCAAGGTTTGTAATATGGTAGGACTGTCAGATGACGGACATGCCAAGTCATCTTATCCTTTGCTAGTCAGATAGTCATTGCTGCTGAATGCAGCATACCACATGTTCTTCCGATCTTATTCACCGCTGTCTCTGATTTCCTCTTCATTGTGCTTTTGGTATCCTTTTATTTCTTTGGCCTAGTGGGTTCCAGTGTAAGGGCACTCTTGCTATACTATTATTATTATTGTGTCCTTCTCAGAATTTGTTAACTCCTTCTTTCCAAGGGGTTACACTTAAAAGCTGAAAATACTTCGGTCTGAGGGGATTCAAAACATGCAAAAGTAGTTAAAACTATTTGTGATAGAAGATATTGGAAACATTATATTATCTTTGGAATAGGAAATGACTGTCGGGCGTGTTGCTTGGTACTTCTTTCTTTGTTGTCTCACTGATAGCAGGTCGTAGCCCAGGGTCATCGTTTTCTGTATGTCTTGCACTTCTTGGTGGCTTGGGTGAAAAATGTATTCATCTTTTTGTAGGTTTCAGCAGCACTATTTATCCTTCTCTTCCTTAGTCTTCCCCTTGCCTTCCTCCCAGTTCTGCTGGAAAAGTCTCATATGCAGTTTCGTCGGGCTGCATTCTTACTAGATGGCTGAACCATTTCATTCTTTGTCTGTGTAATCCAGACATGGTCTTATTGCAATTTTTTTCTAATGCTAGTATTCGCAACCAGGTCTCTTGTGTTGTTAGTGACCTTGTGGAGACAGCACATTTCTCATGTAGTTATTTTCTGTTCTAGAGCTCTATTTATTGTTCACTTCTGGCACTGATAACATAAAATAGGGACGAAGATGGTATTATTCATTTACTGTTTTGCTGAAAAGGAGACATTAAGGTGTCTAAGCAGTGAGGCTAACTGGTTGGCGACATCATTTGCCTTCTCTTTATGTATTTATTGGGAGTGACCTGATCAGCATTGCTGTTTTTAATGAGACTAACTATCATAAGCTAATAGTAATGGTCATCACAGTTCAGCTTTCATAACAGATGGGCCACCCCATAGTTGCTCCATTCCTGTGCCGGCAAAAACTACAGAGAAAGTTTTTCACTGTCCCATGTATCAAAAAATTGATATAGACTGCGGTCTCAGCAAAACCAATAGCATAAACATGCAATAAATGCATATGCCAGCCAATGCAAACAGCCCAACACTAGAAAAGCAGCTTATCGTCAGCTGAAGCAACAGATCAGTAGTAATGAAATAGCAGCTCACAGTGCCACATCATGCACACAGCTCAGTAGCTGGGTGATGGAACTGTATAATTTCAGTCTACATATGGAGGAAAATGCAACAGCTAACTGTTGATAAAAGCAAAATCTCGCCACAACTTAAAAACAAACCTATCCTCCATATTGACCAGAATTATCATTCGCTAAACTGCCAAACTCTTGCCTTCTTCTCTTGTTCACCTACCAGTGGAGCATGGCATCTTAAATAAATCACACCATGCACCATGTAGAATTGTTTATGAGTGATTGAAAAGATGTATAAGGGATGAGGTGACCGGTCTTACGCCAGCCTTCCTTTGTTGCCTCTTATGTCATGCTTGAAGGTCACCAGATTACACTTGTTTTCATCCCAATTGGGCCCTATTAACGTAAGTGGGTAACTGCTACCTTTATGTTTAGCATGATGAGTTCACTACAGTGCCCGTATGGGCTGTATGTACAAACTGCAGAACATATCCTGCAAGACTATCCTTTGTTAGCTCATTGAGAAGGAAATAACTTGCCCACTGAGTTAATACAGTACTCACAGAGTTTATGGAACCAAAGAAGACCTCCAACTGACTATCACTTTTATCACAAAAAACTTTTCTTCTGGTGAAAATCAAGAAAGTGATCACAAAAAGAAGAAGTCCTCTTCTTAGTGTTCACCAGCTGTAAACTCCAACAGAAAGTTCTGGGTGTTCATCCATGTCTGGACTTCTACCTTGTTCTAGAACTTGAGTTGTGCATACAGATCCTTTTACAGATCTGACTTATTTATGTGCAGACTGTTGATTCCTTGCCTCAAATGCAGATGTACTTTGACTTTGAATGAAACATCCCTAATTAGTCAACTCTTATGACATGCATGGGGAAGGGGGGGGGGGGGATTTTGTCTGTTTTGTGCCCCACAAATGGGGAAGCATTTATTAATTTAGAACACCAACTACCTGTCAATAGAATGGTTTAAAACAGCTCCTGTTTGTTGTTAAAAAAAGTTAACAAACATGATTTGTATGATTTTATTCCAGGCTTCCATCGAAGAAATCAACAATGCATTTCGTCACCTAAGCAAAATCTACCATCCTGATAAACATGTTGATCCTAATAAAAAAAAGAAGGCGGAAGAAGTATTTAACAAACTAAGAAAAGCTCATGATGGTAAGTCGTAATTGGCCTAATCTTTTCCTGTGTTTTACCTGTACTGTTAACCTTTTCTTCCTGAGAAGCCACAAAGCTGACACTTCTGGTTGGGCCCAATTTCCCGTAAATGTCACTTTTTCGACTTGTCTGTAGTGAACTGTTTACGAGAAACATAGTTAATGCTTTTGGCTGTTTTCACGCCTGCACAAATATTTAGGAGATCAGGATATGAATACATTAACTAAAGATAGCACTGAGGACAAAAAAGAATGAAGGGTTTCTTTTGAACCATATAGCTTTTTTTCCCCACATGCCTCAGTGATTGAGGTCACCTGATACATATCGGTTTTTTTTAGGCCTCAGGGAATGTATTCCTTATAATATTTGACATTGTTCATGTTTATTGATTTCCTTACTTCCTTCATGTCTCTCTATATATTTTGAAGGAAAGAATGCAGGTAAATAAATTAATGAGCGTATTAGTGATCTGTGTAAAATCATGTTTACTTTGTTTTAATCATTTTTGTCTGGAGTTTCAAAGGGTCAAGACTCATTGTTTTAATGTTCCTGGAGCTAGATTGTTAGCAGAATTGAAAGTGTACAGCCAAGATAGCTTCTTGGGGCAAGATGTCAGGATGCTGTCAACCCATTCTAGACAGACTTTGTGTGTGTGTGTGTGTATATATATATATATATATATATATATATATATATATATATATATATATATATATATATATATTATCCATAATACCGAGCCTAAGGGTTAACATCTCATGGCTTCTGGGTACTAAAACAAACATATTTATATATATATATAAATATGTTTGTTTTAGTATCCAGAAGCCATGAGTTGTTAATCCTCAGGCTCGGTATTATGGATATTGCAACCTTTCGGCCTTGATTCCATTGTAAATACCTTAAATCTGGGAGAAATGTGGCTTTTCTGCCTACTCCCGAGAGTGAACCCGGACCACATGGAGTTCGTCACCCGGTCACCGCGCAATCCGGTTTAGCCAACTACGCTAGAGAGCTGGGTCCATATATATATATATATATATATATATATATATATATATATATATATATGCAAAATTCACAGATATTTTAAAAGTTACCATGTGAAATGATTTTTTCTTTCTCCATAAGATTTCAAAATAAACCCATCATATGTGTATTTTTATCCTACAGTGTTGAAAGACAAGACAAAGCGTACAGTATATGACATGTACGGGGAGAAAGGTTTGGAAGCTGGAGATATGGAAGTAAGTTTGTTGATGACGACATCCAACTTTTCACCTAGAATAGTATTATTCACAACTGTTTCACTTATGATAGCATGTGTGGCTGCCAACATATTTTACATGATAACATTATTCACAACTGTTTCACTTGTGATAGCATGTGTGGCTGCCAACATATTTGACATGATAACATTATTCACAACTGTTTCACTTGTGATAGCATGTGTGGCTGCCAACATATTTGACATGATAACATTATTCACAACTGTTTCACTTGTGATAGCATGTGTGGCTGCCAACATATTTGACATGATAACATTATTCACAACTGTTTCACTTGTGATAGCATGTGTGGGCTGCCAACATATTTGACATGATAACATTATTCACAACTGTTTCACTTGTGATAGCATGTGTGGCTGCCAACATATTTGACATGATAACATTATTCACATCTGTTTCACTGGTGATAGCATGTGTGGCTGCCAACATATTTGACATGATAACATTATTCACAACTGTTTCACTTGTGATAGCATGTGTGGCTGCCAACATATTTGACATGATAACATTATTCACAACTATTTATCTTATCAGATTGGCTGGTTGTTTGGTTGCTGCTCTCTATAGAGCAAAGCTTATGCAGTATTGTAGATCCCATTATGATCCCTCTTTCAGCCTGTCTTGTTAACTCAAAGGAAAGGTAACAGCCAGTACACAAACCATGCTGGGGGGGGGGGGCGCATTAGCGAAGTCGATAGGAGACTCGCTTTCAAATCCAGCCGCAACTTGCAGCCCATGGCTGGTGTTCAAAACCGGGCGGTTCCCAGGGTTCACCCAGCCTCTAGGAAATGAGTACCAGAGTTAACACTCTGGGGTAAATGAAGAAACGTTGCTGTAGCTACAGAGTTGCGTGCGGAAGGCGACACAGGTGGACAGTTTTTATCAGCTGTCCGTATTGGTGGCGGAGCACTTATGGTTTACAATCGAGTGCAGTGACGCTGGTTCACATCTCCCGACTTTTCCTTTCCCTTTAAACCACTGCTCTGTCTGCCCACCTGCTGAAACTTCCTTCCTAGTCCAGCAGCCAACAAGACTAAGGACCTGGTCTGGCCTACCCTAACATTGTGTTTTAACTTTGCATTTCCTCTTTTTTGGATAAGTCTAGAATCCTACCTAATGTGCTCCTCCGCCTGAAGCCATTGGCACAGTGTTGGCTGTCAGGTTTGGTATGCGCCCAAAATTCAACATTAAGAGAGAATGGGTCATAACAGCTATTAGCATGCTGAAGCTCAATCATATATGACCAGAAGCTGACACTTCTAATAACATTGTTCATTACCAGCATGTCTTCCTTTTTCTTCTCCTCCTCCTTTGTCTTCTTCTTCTTATGCTAGTGCTTCTTCTTTTTCTTCTTATTGTTGACCGGGTGTAAACTACAGCAGAAAATTATTGTTGCTCATCCACTTCTTGCTTATATGCAGACTGTTGGTTCCTTGTCTCTCCGGCTGATGGAATCCAGCTTTAAAAGGCACACCCTTAATTAGTCACCTTGTATGATATATTCTCGGACCCCCTCCCCCAAATGGGCACCAGAACCCACATAGGGAGCCAACATATCGCATATGATAGGATTGCTCATAACAAACGTTTTATATATAACATTAGTCACCACTATCATATCTCCCATTTTAACATTATCCACAGCCTAGGTCTCTCATGATAACATTATTCACACCCTACATGTCTGCCATGATAACATTATTCACACCCTACATGTCTGCCATGATATCATTATTCACCAGCTACATGTCTCCCATGTTAACATTGTCCACAACCTAGGTTTTTCATTGTAACATTAAGCATAGTCTACATGTCTCCCATGATAACACTATGCACAGTCTACTTGTCTCCAATTATAACATTATTCACAAACTACATGAGTCATATGGTAATGTTATTCACCACCTACAGGTCTCCCTTGATAACACTATCCACTACCAAATATCTTTTGATAATATTGAAATCCATATCTGTTCCTCCTATAACATTTTAATATCCAGCCTGTTACCCATTATATAATTGTTGACGCCATTTCCTCATGCATTGTGTCTGGTTCCTCTAGATTATTGCTCGGACAAAAACACCAACAGAAATTATTGCTGAGTATGAAAGGATTCAAAAAGAGAGAGAGGAGAGGCGACTCCAGCAAAGAACCAACCCACGGGTGAGTTTAGTACAGTAAAGTCTTGTCAGCACAAACTTAGTTAGGACAAACACTCACCAAACATGAACAAAATGGTTGTTGATCGCAGCAGAGATATTTTACACTACAGTGTTATTTGTCCCTCTGTTGGCACAGTTTATTATTTTTTTCTTTTCTAACACAAACTCTTGATTTTTCATTTGCTGTGGGCTTTTACTTATATAGTTGTGCCAAGATGCTGTTTTGGTTCTTGTTGGTTTTTAAGTAGCTGCACACACAATGATCTTATCAGAGTTCTTGAACATGCTTCAGAATATCACAACAGGCAGCCATGCTCTGAATGGATCAGCAGTGGTCAGAAGTTGCTTTTTTGTATGTAGATGGTTTCTTGCCTCTCAGGCAGATGCACCCCAACTTCAGAGGAAATATCCCAGATTAGTCACCTCCTGTGACATGCTTGTTAGGATGCAGTGGGTCTGTTCTTTGGTTTTCTAAATTGAGCATTGGAATCCACACGGAGAATTAAAATAGACACACATGCATGCACACGCATACACCCACAGAGTGCGATTCTGGCACCATGTGGCATTGGTGTGAAAAGGGTCTAAAATGGTGTTGGGACATTTTCTGGGAAGTAAAAATGGTGCTATATTGGGCTAATTCTGAGAAGAGATAAAGAATCACCAGACATGCACTGAAATGGGAAATAGAGTGACTGAGTAAACAAGGACGTTTAGTAGAAACATTAAGGTGAACGTTGATGAGAGAAGCCATAAGTGCTGGGCTGGATTCCATCCATGATATTGAAATGATTGCCAAGAGTAGAACAGAATAGAAAAATAGGCAGAGAGCCTTGTGTGACATATAATGACAAAACAGGACAGCCAATGAATGAATGAGAGAAAAGCTAGCATGATTATGTTCACATCACCCATCAAGTGCCAGTTTCAGGTACTATAGCCTATTGTGTCTCATGGCATTAGTGACGATCCTTAACTCACCTTGTAGGTTCCAGGACCCTGTTGTGGGGGGGGGGGGTGGAGAATAGACCCACTGCCCTCTAACACGGCTGTACAGGATTCAACAAATTAGGGATGTTTCCTTTAAAAGAATACATCTGCCTGAAAGTTTAGGAACCAACAGTTTGCATAAAAATAAACCAGAACGGTAAAGCAGGTGTTTAAGCAAAACTTAGTTTCTGGAACAAGACCAAAGTCCAGAATTAAGTAAACCAGAACTTCCTGTCTGAGTTTACAGTCAGCAAAGAAGGAAACTCTTCAGCATAGCAGTTCTTTGTATTTTACAGATCTTTTAAAATCTGTCACTTGTGGCTCAAAAACTATTTATATCTCAAAATACAGGGTACTATTTCCGTGGGAATCAACGCCACAGAAATCTTTGATGCAGAATATGATGATGATGAACCCATAGACTATCAGTAAGTAAAACTTGTTATGATGAAACCATTCACCCCAGAAACACTTTAAGAAAGCGACTATATACTCGGACCCCCCCCCCCCCCCCCCCCCTTTTTCCCCTCCTGACCCAATATAATCTTTATTAAACCGCTTAAGTAACCATGTTGCACATGCACTAAAAAATGCATGTTTTTTTTTTCTAACATTGTTTTAGGAAAATATGGAAGATAGTATCTGTAAGCTCTGACGGAAGGTTATGGTTGTTTGTCCCCTTATGGACTGTAGTCCTGTTCCAGAACCTGAATGTTGCATGTGCATCTGTTTTACAGATCTGACTTATTTGTGTGCAGACTATTGGTTTCTTGCCTCTCAGGCAGATGCGCTCAGAATGTGAAGGAAACTCCCAATTAGTTGACTCTTATGACATGCTTTTGGATTGGCACTGAGACTGTTCATGTTTTTCCAATAATTGGGCCCCGAACCCACACGAGGAGGAGAGTATCTGAAACACAAACAGAGTGAAGATTTAACTGGATTTGATTGCTCTGGGCCTAAAAATATAATGGATAAATCATACAGTGACTTTATTGGAATTCTAACACTGAGGCTTTTGTTCCCATGAAAACCCCTAAATGCTGTTTTGAGTGAATTTAAATCCAGACCTCCTAAATGCTGTGCAGGTGCAAACACAGTCAATGGTATTAACTAGGCTTTTTGGGCACATCACTAGAAATCCTAAGTAAGCAGCATTTACAGAATTGAGCCGCTACTTTACATGCCAGATTGTGACTTTTCTGGCGCACAAGGGTTGCAGTTTTACTTACAGCAAAAATAAACACTGGGTGTAGATCAGTGATCCAAACATCTGTTGAGAAACACTTTCATGCTTGACCTACTTTTGTATCTCCATTTATGACAACCATGACTTTAAAAATCAGCTAAGCATTACCCCTAGAATCGCTTCCTTTGCTCCAGATAATGTGATGGCTTATTCCATATGTTTGCTTAGACCTCACAAGATTCTAGAATTCAGCTTTGTAAGCATTGCCCCTAGAATCACTTCCTTTGCTTCACCTAATATGATCTCTTATTTCATATCTCCATTTAGACCAAGCAGGACTCTAGAAATCAGTTCTATGAGCATTGCCCAGTCTGTGGAGTGTCCACTAACTCTCAAGGATACGGTTGTCGTCGGGGGCAACCTGGACACCCGGAATGGTATTGGTCAAGGCATGTTCAGCATCATGTGGAGGAGGCTCATATCTACCAAAGGATGGGCAGAGGTAGGGATGCTCTTTCTGCTCTTTCTACACCTTCTGTATCTAAAAGTCAGAAAATAAAGGACGGTTTTCACACTTTTAGAGCATGCATCAGGAATGTGGTGCTAGACCTATGTTATGCCTTGAAATGGATTTAAACTTTGGCGGAAAGTTCTTGTTTTTTGTTCACCTCTGGACTTCAGTCTTGTTTGGGAACCTGCGTGTTGCGCTCACATACATTTTACAAGTCCAGCTTATTTGTATGCAGACTATTGGTTCCTTGCCTCTCAGACATATACACTATGACTTCGAAGCCCCTACCCCCGCTCCAAATACTTTTACCATATACTTGTTTTTTTTGGAAGGCATTAGGTCTGTTCTTTTTTTCCCCCACAACCGGCCCAGGACACTCTCGGAGAACTTACATGTAGTTTGAGTTTCATAGTTGTTGGGTGAATAAACCCACAGAGAGAGCGAATTTTAAGACTGTTATTTATCTTGTTTTTTTTTTTTTTTTTTTTAGCCGATCTGATGGTCAATTTAGAAATTCAGCTTGGTTTAATCGATCATTCAGTTTATCCCTCTAGCTGCTAACAACAGGTTTACTATACTATCCTCAGATTTTTTTTACAAATATGTCTGGGCGGCCAATATGGCAGAACGCAGATACCCCTTTGAACCTCCAAAGAAGTTATAACTGGCTAAACCAGCCAGGTGTCACCTGCAGTTCTGTGCAGGTGAGAACTGAAGTTGGTCCAGTCTCTTCTTCTACTTTCCCCGCCTGCACACTGTGGTGGCAAGTCCTGTTTGGTAATCCACTTCTGGACTTTGGTCTCGTTCGGGACTCTAGTGTTTCATGTGTATCAGATCTTGTGTGCAGATTGTTGGTTCCACACCCATCAAACAGATGTAATGCGTTTTCAGAGTAATCAGTCAGTCAGGGTTGTCCACAGTGGATCTCCAGCATGCTGTCTCTCTTGTCTTGATTGTACTCTATCTCAGACTGATTTTCATCCATTTTTTTATGTTAACCTCCCACTTGTATCATCTACCTCCCCCCGACTTTTCCCTTCAGCATGATTTTTAATAGCGTATTGTGTCTTTTAATGTGACCAAAGTGTTTCAGTTGTCTCTTTCTTTCAGTAATTCTCTTTTCATTCATAATCTTTCCAGAACCTCTGTGATGGACTGGGTTCTATTTCCATGAAATACGGCCTGTCCTTCTTCTGTATATCCACATTTCCAGAACATTCAAAGTTAATGTTTATCCTATTGTACACTGGCCTGGCTCCTGTGGGGACAATGTTTCTAGGAATTACCATAAAGAGGTGTTAATAGGCCTGGACGAGACTGAACCCTGGTCCACATGCATCACCACAGTTGGTGATGCACTTCTCCATCCCCGTCAGCATTACTATTGCACATGAAACACTAACATCTCTGTATCTCATTGAAGGAACTAATTCCTAACTGATCCTATCATTGCTGATGTTGATCTGTCTTACGTACAGGTGGATGTTCATGTGGGTTCTGCAGTAGCCTTCGGGGTCACAGGGTTTAGGCAGCTGACACAAAGATGGTAAGTGGCATTGTGTTATCGGCCTGTCCCTCCCCTGTGATTTCTGCTCTTCACTGCACTGCCTAGTCCTCTTTGTGGAATGCCTAGTCCTCTTTGTGGAATGCCTAGTCCTCTTCACTGCACTGCCTATTTCTGCTCTTTACCACACTGCTAAATCCTTCTCTTTACTGCACTGCTAAATCCTTCTCTTTACTGCACTGCCAAATCCTCCTCTTTACTGCACTGCCAAATCCTCCTCTTTACTGCACTGCTAAATCCTTCTCTTTACTGCACTGCTAAATCCTTCTCTTTACTGCACTGCCAAATCCTCCTCTTTACTGCACTGCTAAATCCTTCTCTTTACTGCACTGCCAAATCCTTCTCTTTACTGCACCGCCTATTTCTGCTCAAATGCGCTTCTCTTTACTGCTCTTTGTGGAATGCCTCCTCTTTACTGCACTGCTAAATCCTCCTCTTTACTGCAATGCTAAATCCTTCTCTTTACTGCACTGCCAAATCCTCCTCTTTACTGCACTGCCTATTTCTGCTCTTTACTGCGCTGCCTAGTCCTTCTGCCTAGTCCTCTTTGTGGAATGCCTAGTCCTCTTCACTGCACTGCCTATTCCTGCTCTTTACTGCACTGCCAAATCCTTCTCTTTACTGCACTGTCTATTCCTGCTCTTTACTGCAATGCCCATTCCTTCTCTTTACTGCACTGCGCAATCCTATCTTACTACTGCACTGCAAAACTACACTGCCCCTGTTTATCCTGCCCATGCCATCCTGCACTGCTCTTTTTACCACTGCGCTATGTAATTGTAGTCCTTCCTCTTTACCTACACTGCTCTTAGGAATCCTCCTTTTTGAACACACCAGGGCGTGCCCAGTGACTGCTAAAGAGCTGCACTGCCCATGCCTTCTCTTAATTGACACTGCCATGACCTGTGAATACTGCATCCCAAAGATTCCTGCTAATTCACGTAACCACTGTTGGAAGTCCTATAACAGATACCCTGCCTTTATATAACATAAAACACTGACGATGTACTGTCATAATCCTACCCATACTTCTCATCCTGCACTATACTCTTTTGACCTACCACTAGTGGGTTAGACTAATGTGCTAGGACAGTGTGGTCTGCAAACTGATTAGTCAAAAGAGCCAAATTTCTTTTCAAGAACTCGTCAAGAACCATGTTTTTTCGGAGTCAGAACCAATTTGTGGCCGACTTGCTGAGCCGCACTCAGGTAGCTAAAGAGCTGCCAGCCGGGATTTGCTGACCACTGTGCTAGGATGTTGAAACAGACAAGTAAAATACAATGGTCTAACACTTCGCAACCTTATAGCAGTCGTTTGCCGTGGAAGTGTCATAATGTTTTTTCATTGTCTGTGTGTTTCTTGTCCAGCTACCTCCGATGTGGCCTGCGAGGAGAGGTTACACAGTATGGCTACAGACCTTCGGCAACTTTAAGTAAGTCAGCACATCATGGTATTTTTCTATTCTAGATTGATAATCTTGTCTGAATGGTGTAAATCTTGTTTGGGCGCTTTTGCCAATACATTTATTTTATGTACAATTTTGCTTTATAATCTTGTTTTATTATTTATTTTTGTTTTTAGATAATCTTGTTTGGGAATATTTGTTAGATAATCTTGTTTTGTGCGATGAATTATCTTTTTTTCTTCCCCTGCTTTTTTCTCACCGGTTGTAAACTGAAAAGTTCTTGTTGTTTGTCCACTTCTGGACTTTGGTTTTTATTTCAGATATTGAGTTATTTTTATTCACATCTATTTTATAGATCGGGCTTGTTTGAATGTTTGTTCCTCACCATAATAGGCAGATATACTCTGACTTCAGAGGAAACTATCCTGATTAGTCAACTTTTACAACATGCCTATGTAGGACAAAGTGGGTGTATTCTCCCCCCCCCCTCACAAAACTCACACCGGAAGTCATCTGTTCTGGATTGCTTATCTTGTTCAAGTACATTTGTTATGTTTGTATGTTGAATTAAGAATAGACATCACAGCACTCAGGACACTCACATAAGCTTCCTCTTCAGCAGCAAGCGGAGAGTTCCAATTCTGATGGCACCAGTAACTGTCTGATTGCATATACGTCTCACCTTTCCCTTGGGTTAACTCTTCGCAGTGCCATTCTCCTCAGACCGCAATGATCTATTTCTTAGTTTAATATCACTCGTTGCTGAGATATAACCATGGCCTGTTAGGGAAGCAACAACAACTGCAAAAACTAGCTTAACTCTGCTCTTGGATTTGAATCCCCTTTGTGGTGTTATATAATTGACCTTCCCTGTCTATGTTCTGGTTCCCCTTTGTGGTGTTATATAATTGACCTTCCCTGTGTAGCGTTCTGGTGCCCCTTTGTGGTGTCATATAATTGACCTTCCCTGTGTAGCTTCTGGTGCCCCTTTGTGGTGTCATATAATTGACCTTCCCTGTGTAGCTTCTGGTGCCCCTTTGTGGTGGGGGAGGAGAGGGTACAAAGAATACGCCCACTGCTTTCCTAACAATCATGTCATATAGGTCGACTAATTAGGGGTTTCCTTTGAAGTCAAGAGTACATATGCCTGGGAGGCAAGGAACACAAGTCTTTTCAACATATATCACTGTTGAAACCAAATCGGTCTGCAGCTGAATTGCCCACAGCTGGGATTGAATTCAGAATCACAAGGCGAGTTGGCAGTGCTTAGTCAGACACTGACAATATAAAAATACTTTTTTTATTTTACCCTCAACAAGTGCTAGCATACCAGTTTGACAGATGCTTGCAGGGTCGACTGACCTACAACCTGAGCCGGCCGTCATCCATCGTCACAAACATTGTGTACAGTAATGAACAGAACCATGTATCTTCAAGTGTACAGGTTTGTGACAAATTGTACATTGTTCACTTTTCTCTTTCTGTATTTATTATGATTCCTTATTTGAATATATTTTTCTTCCTACTTGTCATCTTTCCATTCCAGTTAAGAATTATTGTCTTGATAAATGTTTGTATTGTTACATATAAGGAAGGAGGAGTGGCTTTCTGAATGTTTAGAAAGTTATGCTCTCTTTCAGTGTCATCATCATCATCAGCTGCCTTGCCGCCTGGTGTAGGCACTCATGCCTCTTCACAATCTGTGATCTTCAACAGCGTGTATCAGTTCATCTCCTGACACCCCTCCATACCATTACAAAAATCTTGTCAAGTATCTTCTTGCGTTGTCTTCCTCTGTCTCTTTCTCTATTAATCTTTCCAGTTGTCACAACATGTCCCAGTCTCCTTCTTCTCATAACTTGACCAAAAATTGAGGACCGACTCTTTCTGATGTTTGTGATAAGTTGTCTTCATGCCCTCATCTCTTTCAGAATGACTGGGTTGCTCTTTTTGGCTGTCCAAAGAATTCTAAGGATTGTTCTGTAAAACCACATGACTGAGGCCTCAAGAAATTATCAGCTTATCCAGAATCGAATCCACAGTTTGATCGACACACACAAAAACAAAATTATATGGGGGGGGGGGGGGGGGGGGCTGTACAGAATTGTTATAGTATACTTATTTGTATCTCTTGCTGATTAATTGTAATTTCTTTTTTTTTTTTTTTTTTTGCAGCTTGGCATCCGTTCTAGCTTTCTTGCTTTATCATATACCAGAACTTTTCTTGAGGCAGATACCAAAGTGCGAGGAGCATTCAGGTACAGTTCTAGAACTCAAGCTTCATTCATCTTAACATGTTGTGAGACTTTAACGCTTTTGCCCCAAGAAGCAAAAAAAAAAAAAAAAATGACACTTCCTGTTGGGTACAATTGCCCGTAAATGTCACTTTTCTGACTTGTCTGTAGTAACCTGTTTATGAGACTCAGTTAATGTTGTTGTCTGTTTCACACCTGCACAAACATTTAGACAGTCAGGATGTGAATACATTAACTAACAATAGCATTTAGGGGGAATTTTCATTTGAGCTTAGTGGCATTTTCAAGGCCGAGTTGACCTCAGAGTTTCCTGTAAGGCTTAGTGATAGAGGTCACGGCCTGAGTCACCCAATACATGTGTTTTTGTAGACACGGGACATTTATTCTATCTGATGCTTCACCTTGTTTGTGATTATTATTACATGCAGCTCATCCCATATCCTCTTGTCTTTTTACTTCACTCTGAAGCTCCCTTCTCCGTGTGTTTTTTTGGGTCTGCCTTTATTTTCTCTGTCCCTTTGGATTCCGCTGCAAAGACATTCTTGTTAAATTGTTATCATGTTTTCTCAGTATGTCTAATCCAATACCAGCATCCTTTCATAACCTCTTGATTGACTGGAATTTATTTAGTTCTCTCCCAACGCTCAACATTAGTGATTCCATCATACCATTTAATTCCCTGTAGCTACATCAGGCAGACTACAGCAGAGTTACATCAATAATTAGTGAATAAGATAATCATTTAGGAAAACAAAATAGTAAGAAAATGTGGTAAATTTAAGATTGCTATGGTACTGACATGGCTAATTTTGAATTTCTAGCGGAAAGATGTACTGTGGGACTAGACATAGTGATTTGTGTATTTCACTAGAAAGGTTGTGTTTTTTGAAAGCATCATTGTACTTTAGGATGACTTCAAGAGGCGTAAAGTAATAAGACAACTGTCTGGGCAGCCAGTAATATCAACAGTTATAAGACCGAGAAGATAGTGCTAAATTGGACACATTCTGAGAAAAGACGAAAGAGAATCATGTAAGAGGCATTGCAATGGGAAATAGAGGGCTTGAGGAAATGAGGGTATCCAAAAGAAGCCCTAAGGCAGAAAGTTCATGAGAGATAGCCAAAAGGGCTGGACTGGATTCCATCCATGATTTCAGATGGATTACAGGGTATAGAATAGATTGGAAAAATAGACTGCCAGTCCTGTGTGACATTTAATGTGTTTGTATAGTGAGTGTTAGTATACTACAGTGTGTTAGTATAAATTTGTTGTCTTTCTTCACATTTTATCTTTATCATCATCATCATCCCGTAACACTGCATGTCTCTGAGTCACGAGTTGTTATTGACTGTCTGATCAGCCCCTTTCACCTTTGACAGTCAGATGCAATGGACTTCATGGTTGCATGCCTAAAGCCTGTCCAGTCAGTTAAGTTCTGTATCCATGTCTTTCTTGGTCTCTCAGTTCTCCTATTCCCCCTTCTACTGAGCCCTGTTTTTGAGAGGCCATTAGATCTTTTTACATGTCAGTACAATTGCATTCACTACCTTTTCACAATAGTTAAAATAGGTTCATAGTTTCCAGTGTGCTGGGTAATTTTGTGGGAAAACACCTAATTTTTTCTCAAGTCTCCCTATTTCTCAGTCTTCTTTATCTCATTGGGAGTCACTGGCAGAGCGGCTAGACCCTAGCAGACCCGGACTTTTCTTCAAAAATGACCTTGGCTCCCAGGTCAACCCAGCCTTGAGTGGATACCGATTGCAGTCCCGGGAAATAGAGCCGAAGGGAGTGTTCCTGATCACATCACCCATCTTGTGCCATTGGTCAATAAAATTTAGGTCTAGCCCTATATGCCCTACATGCCTAAAGGCGTGGAAAAAGATCGTTTACTTTACTTACTTACTTTATTTCACTGTCCTTATAAAGAATGCTTCTCGCTTTCCTTGATAAAAATACCAAATTAAGCTTACAGTTAAAATGATAACAGTTAATATTTATTCATTGCTTCTACAGAATTGGAACACTAGGCGGTATGGTTGAGTGTTCTGTGGAAAAAAAGGTGACAGATTTCAGCAATATAGGAGGCACATTGTTGATAGGGGTGCCGCAGGGTGTCCATCTCAAACTCAAGTAAGTTGTCTATCTTTTTATTTTTTTATCATTGCGTTTTCTCCCTTTTTGTGTTCTTTCTTTCCTTTATTTTTCCTTGTTGGGGGGGGGGGGGGGGGGGGGGGGGGGGGGGGGGGGGGGGGGTATTTTATCCCCTTCATTCTGTTCTTCTTGTCTTTTTATCCCCTTTATTGTGTTTTTCTTGTCTTTTTCTTCTTTCTCTATTTTTTTTTTTAACATCTGTCTTATTTTCTTCCTTACTTTCTTTCATTAATTTTCTTCTTTTTTTCCTAACTGCTCTTTTTTCCCCCTTTATTTGAAAACAGAAAATAATAAATCGACATGATTTCTGAGTTATCATCATCAGTTTCCACTTTTGCCGTTAAGTGGCATAGGGAGGAACAGTTTGCAATCCATTACTTAATGGTAGCAATAGCTGTTGTCATTCCTTGTCGATATAGAGGCTCTTTAATGTTATCAACCCATCATTTCCTTCTCCTGTTGCTTTCACAACAGATCTTTTCATGTGTAGCTCCTGTTTTCACTCCAGAATACAGGGACCTATATTTTCAGACCAGCCTGGCTCAAGAGTGTCCTGGCTCAACTCAGCCTCTATAAAAGTGGATCATCCTCAATCAGCGGGTTCTTTACAGAACATCGCTCTCGTCACGGCACGTTGAAAGGTTCTCTTTCTCTTATCCAGCACTCCAGCCCTGTGTGCTTTCATAGCCAGTGGATCTTCACTGTCTTGTATCCATATTTGCGCAGGTGGCTCTCTGCATCATTTTCTGGAAATTACCCTCCATCACCATTTTCCCCAGACCATTGTGACATTTAACATGACCAAAATACTACAGGTTTCGGGACAGGAAGCTGTTTATAGGCCGATTCTACTTGATCCTGACATAATAAAGAAGTTTGTCTTGTTGTTCTTCTTGGTCAGTGGCATTATAAGAATGTTATTTTTTAGCAGAAAATGTTCAAAAATCATCTGGGAATTGTTTTGTAAGGCAGGTCACTGAAAGAAGTAATTGGCCACCCCATTTCTTCTTCTACTGCAGATTCAGAAAATGTGAGTGGCCTGATGATACAGGACTTGTGACCTATGTGGTTCTTTTTTGTTGTAGCTGCTGCTTACATCATCGATGAACTGCAGTTTTAGCGGTGGACTGTTTGCGTTGGCACTTCTGGCGGCTATTTAATACATTTATGTGAATTTATAATATTACCTTTGCTGAGACTGCAGTCACAAGAGACAGCAGTGGGTATTTTCTGTGGTTTTCACTGGCACAGGAATGGAGTGATTATGAGATGACCCGTTTGCTGTGAATTTGGAACTGCAGTTACCTGATTCTTCTCATTTTTAATCCACCTTTGTTAAAATTTTTTTTTACTAGATTACTGTTTATAATTAGATGAGAACTGAAATCAGAATCTATAATAATACTGATAACTTGTTTCAGTAATGCAGTTTACAAGTCTCTAGCTTTTAATTCACCATTTGTTTCAGTGTTCTCTTTACCAGATTACTATATATATAATTAGATAAGGAGTTTAACCTGTAAATATAAAAATACTAGTAATTTGTTTCATTCATGCTGTTAACTCCATATTTTTTTTTATTTTCACTTTTACTTTTAAAATTTTTGTTTGCAGATTACTACGTGGTCAGCAGACGTTTATTTTCCCCATCTACCTGTCCGAAGGCCTGAATCCTAGCGCTGTCATTTATGGGTCACTCCTGCCACTGGCAGTTTACTACATTGTCAAGAAGCTGATTATTGATCCTGTACTTAAGCAGCAGAAACTTTCGTAAGAATTTTGTCAACTATTTTTTGCCAGCTTTATGGGTGACTGGTAGTTTGCCCATTAACATCAAGAGCTAGCTGACTGGCACGGACGATCACGCCTCTCCACAGTCTATCTTCAGCATGTTCAGTTTGTGTGCAGAACTCCTCCATGTCATGACAGCAGGCTGTCAAGAATCTGCAGGCATTGTCTTTTCTCTTTTTCCATTGATCTTTCAGTGGTCACAACATGTTCAAGTTTCCTTCCTTCTCTTAACATGAAAATCAGCCTAATTTGTTGACTTTATGGCATGCTGGGGGGAAGGGGGTGTGTTAATTTTTTTTAGCCCC